GAGAAATACCACCTCTCGGAAGAGGTAATTATCTATGTTCCCGCACCTAAATCGCTGGAATTGGTATTCCTTAGTAAGCAAGGTGCCTGTTTATGGTGATTGTTATTGTAGTCAACCATTACGCTCTCGATTCACACAACTTTCAGAAAAGCTCGGAAGAACAGGAGCAGGAAAATTACGTGACAGATCGCAAGACGATAACTGATAGCGGTCAGCCGGTCGCAACCTCCGACTTTCGAAAACGCGAGTCCCTCGCCAGCTGGCGTGAGTCTCATAACTTTAGCGGAACAGCGCGCACATGCAGCTTTCGCGGTGACGGTTCCGCCAGCTTCCATAGGAATGTCTCTATGTATCCGTACGTGTTCGGTAAGAGAGGTCATTTGAGGTTTGCCGAGGGGCCGCTGCTGGCTAATCGCCACCTAGGAATCTCGCAATGCACGTCCATTAAGTTAATGGCAGCTGGCAGACGCGCGAGAAGATGGACCCCAAATGTGGCCTTTTGCGACTTGGAAGTGAACATCACCTAGCTTTTACCGGGTCTGCGCCTGGAGCGGTGTGGAACCAGTGCTGATGTGTTGATGTGTCTTCGAATCTTTTTATTTGGCTGATTTGTTCTCATGCGCGCTTCTCGCCTGCACAGACTGAATTTAAAGCTATGCTTTAACGATAACGCAAATAGCCTTGCGTTCAAGAAAATGATACTGCTGCCTAACCGAGTCTATTAACCTCGAAAAAAGTCTAGCGGAGAATTACATCCCTACTTACTTCGTGCGAGTGCAGCGCAAAAGTAAAGTTCAAACTTCCGAGAGGAAAAGAAAACACATACGTGCAGCAGTGCCGCTAATACGTTTAGTATCAGACTTGTTTGGTATACCTGAAAAAGAAACGAAGCTCAAATATAGGCAGGACATCTGACAAGCGAACAGTATAGAGTTTGCACTTGTCACTTTTCCCCTTAACTTCTTCGTTTACAAGCAAGTGACAAATCCAAGGCACAGATGTAAACTGTAGTGTTCACTCGTCAGATGTCCTGCCTATTATCCAGCTTAGTTTCCTTTTCAGTGCTGGTGCTAAACCATCAAGAATCGACTTGACCAACATACCGATGTTTACAAAGTTACAATAGCCACACATAGATCAAAAACAGCAGCAGCCGTTAATATTCTGTAACATTTCTTGAACATAAAAAAAAGTAAGAATTGGAAGCTCTATTTGCAATGTATACAAGTTGCTTGAACCACCGTTCATCGATTTTCGAGGCTGCTCGCATGTGTAACTCGAAGTTGTCTTTAACTTATGTGTTTCTTGCGTTGTTTCTTTATGTAATCCACCTTGCATGTCAAAACGATATGGACTTTTCATTTGTGTGATTGCATTTTCATCGTCATTACAAAAGGTCACATAAAATATCTCTATATGTTGAACTCTTTCGGGATAAAATAATTGAAGACATTAAAAGAAGAATGCGCAGCTGACGGTCACTGTTGCCTTGTTTTTGATGTTCTAGACGAGCCTAATTCATGCCACACGTACAAAAATGTCTCACGAAGGCGCCCCGCACGAGCATCTTTGGTGAGTGCAGACTTCCAGTCCGACTGTCAGAAAGCTCGAAGAAATGCGATACAAAAGCAAAAGCGGCTTCGTGCTGACTGCCAGATGAGCAAAATCTTTTCGTGCCTCGTGTTGCTAAGCAGCTGTCACTGCGAAGTCATGACCCCGAAGTCGTGGCCACCAATGCGAGTTCACGACCGGCTGACTGAGCCTAATCAGCAGCCGTTCACGCCTCTCAAGTGAGCGATTCTCCGCCTCGTTCTATCGTCTTGCCTGAGCGTCAACAGGTCACTGTGGGCTGCCGCCACATACAGCCGGCTTTTACTCTGCCTCGCTATCAGTATTGAGCATGTATGTTTATATTTTCTTCGTTAAAAAATGGGCAGTGAGAGAGTGAGTGAGTGAGTGAGTGAGTGAGTGAGTGAGTGAGCGAGCGAGCGAGCGAACGAGCGAATGAATGGTCACATCTGCGCGAGCCCAAAAAACATAAGCGTTGGCTTTAGTTTCGTCGTCATTGCCACAAATCGGTTGCCAGGTAGTGTGACTCCTGCCCAAATTGCTCGTGCGAGTTCCGTGCAACACATCACTGCATAGAAGAGCGTATTTAGAGAAAAACAGGGTGGTTAAATTACGAAAGAGATTTAAATACAATCAGGTTACACAGGATAGAGTTGGTTGGTGATCATTGGAAGATGGTTTCATTTCGCAGTCAGAATGAGACAGAAGGATGATGCACATGATGATAAAGGTGACGAATACGAATAGTATAATATAGTTTTTAATTGAGATTTAATATTACCAGTAAGTTAAATTAAGCAACTTCTTCAACTTCTTCATTTCGCAGTCAGAATGAGACAGAAGGATGATGCACATGATGATAAAGGTGACGAATACGAATAGTATAATATAGTTTTTAATTGAGTTTTAATATTACCAAAAAGTTAAATTAAGCAATCAGACGCAAACCCGCCAAAGTGACAGTGATTCTCCCCAATAACAAGCTATTCCATGCCAATTGCAAAGTGGCAAAGACTAACGAATTCTGGCCTTGAAGCATTGTTTCAGTGCTGAAACAAGTTTAGTTCACAGAAGCCACTATTCATCAGCCACAGTAAAAGAATATTCTTACTGTCATTATGATTGTTAATATTATTATTTGGTATGTGCACGTGAACATATATTCGACAACGTCGAAAAAAAAAGCGATGAAGCAGGCTGAGAAATGATTCCTAGAGTGACACAACACCTCGTCTCTCTTTAAGAACAAGGAAATAGAAATAATAGTGATAAATATGAAAAGGGTAATTGAAGGAAACAACCCCATAACAAGAGACACAGATTGAAAAGCATTAACCTGAAAAAAATACGTTTATTATAAGCACATCAGCTGAGCTTCGCAAAGGAAAGTTCATAGAGTACGATTGGTCTGGTTGCGTTGAAAGCACACCCTCTACGTAACAGAAAATAATCTAGTGTCGTAAATTTTAGTCCAAGATGCGTACATTTCTCTATTAGCACCTTACGCCACGTAACAAATGTGGGACATTCATAAAAGCCATTCAAGTGCTTCTCTGAAGTCAGACGCCACGCACGACGGAATGTCTACACGCTCCTGTCGATGTGAGTTTTCCAGTGTATGCGTTAACGCTTCATGATCTGATTGATATGTGGGGTTTAACGTCCCAAAACTACCATATGATTATGAGAGACGCCGTAGTGGAGGGCTCCGGAAATTCGACCACCTGGGGCTCTTTAACGTGCACCCAAATCTGACCACACAGGCCTACAACATTTCCGCCTCCATCGGAAATGCAGCCAGCACAGCAAGGGATTCGATCTCGCTACCCGCGGTTCACGCTTCATGACACAGCCAACTTTAGTAACAGTGATCTATGATGACGAGACAAGGTGGTCGTGCGCTGAAAAGGCACAGTTATGAGGGCACTTGTTTGAGCTAGTTGTTAGCAATTGATCGAAATGTGATTAGCGCACCTCTCAAGAACGAAGGACAGACGCAAACACCTTGTGTTTATTTATTCTGTCATCTGCGCTCAAGTTTTTCGAAAGTAAGTTTATCATGAAAGGACATAGAATGCCTTTCTACCAGTGTGGCCGTGTAATTGTAGAGACCAGTACTTTTGTGTGCGTTCCAAGGCAATCGCATCCGCAGGCAAGCCACTCTGCGAGGCCGGCGCATCACACCTGTCGGGCCAAAAGGGGCGCGAAGTGTGCCACAGTCGAAGAATCGCGGCCCTGGACGCATCACTGTCTCGCTGTCGGGTCACGAGCGCGCACTCCGAGCTCGAAATTTCACGCTCGTGCGGAAACGGCGTCGAGGCTTTAACGCCTGTCGAAGGACTTCGCTGCGCGCACCACTCAAGCGGCAGGAGGAGGACTACGATGAAACGTTCCCAAACGCATCCAACCACTGAACCGCGGAAATGCCAGCCGCGTGGCCTTTTTGTTCTTCCGCATGCCAGGAGAGGGAACACTTAACCGGTTGACGGGCCATGCCGTGTGTCAAACCGTGATTCTTTGTCATTCGTCAAAACGGTGGCTTCAGAATACGCGCTGTTGTTTCGAGTTGGAAGCACTTGCGAGGCTAGCATAAAAAATTGAAGCGTTTGTGAAGCAAAGCCCATCGCTATTTCTTGTTTGTCATGACAAGTGCTTCATCTTTAATGTAAATTTTCTTGCTCAAGTTTCGTCTCTGAATTACACATCTTTCATTTTCGGTTCTGCAAATAGCTTTCAGACAGGACGTAATAGAATGAGTGACCTCAAAGAGCCGTCTCTGAAGCAGATTTTCAACTGTGTGGAGAGGAGTATTATATGACAAGTTGGTATAAAGCTTGTTTAAAGAAATGTGTTCGAAAGTACTCAAAAAGATATAGAACATATGCTGCCTTTCCTCACAGCTACCTCTTTCGTAGCAGCAAACATCTCAAGAGGCCTACAGAAATCAACTATGGCAGAAATAAAGTAGCTAAATAATTGATATTTTATTTAGTGGATAGAGGCGGTTGGGTTAAATAGAAGAATAAGAATCCCTCTTTAACAGAAGCTGTTACCGCTTCAAGATTTACGAATAGCGGCCACTAGTAATCTTGGCAGTGGGACGAAATCAGTTCAATTCCACCGGTCAAACACAAATCAAAACGCGGTGAATCGCGTGTGCCGTATATCACGAGACAATCAGATTGTGAAAGCGTCGTCCTTTGAACCATCGATCGATCTCGCTTCGAGTGTGCCGTGGCTGCGCTCAGCATTACAACACGTATGACGCATATCCATTGACGAAATTTGTTAGCCAAAGACCGCTGCAATCATTGTCGTGAACAGAGGCGTCATTCTAGTGATGTGGTAATTGCGCTCATCGGCACTTCTGTTTCGTTATGTATATACGGTGCAAATAGCATTCACAGAGATCAGAGACTCGGGGCACCTACCCAATGGCGTTGGCTTTGTCTTGGGGCAGCACTTCGGACTCGCGCAGAACGTCGTCAGTCAATCATCTGGAATAAATAGATATAAGTTGAGACTGTGAAAGAGTCGTTGAGGTCATGAAAGCGCGTATTATTTTAGAATTTTTCTCTTTCCTCATGTGTGTTAGCACAAAGCTGAAGCAGAGCGAAAATTGCTTTCCGAAGTTAACAACCTGCGAGAACGCTGACTTGTGAGGAAATGTTCAAACTTGGAACTTCACTACGAATACAGCAAGTAGACTGCACAATCAACACTACCTCTGTCCCAGCACTTTACCGATTCAGACATTTACTGGACTGCGTCGAAATAATACCACTATTCTTTGTTGTGGGAGCGATGAGACATTAGAGCAGTCTTTTGCGGCTGTTCTCACCACTTCGCGCAGAGAAAATAACTCGCAGTCACTCTAGGTCACGCATATCACAGACCGATGACGGCAGAAACCATTCCGTAATGTCGTCCTTAGAGGTCATCGCGGGTGAAGGCGACAAAGGCAGTGCTAAACTTTTTGATGACATCAAACCTACACCGGCGGTTATAGTTTAATGACGTTATCATGACTATAAGTTGTCTGATTGTGTGTGCGTGCACTTCACTCACTCTCTTTCTCCACTTTTAATACCCCCCCCCCCTCATATCTTTCCCGAGTGTAGGGTTGAATACCGATCTTTGTAACCTTTTCTCCTGTTTCTTCCTTCCTCCCAACTTAAGTTCCTTGAATAAGCCTCCTACCATGTGTTTTAACTCATGTGCAAATAAATGTGTTTGTGTGAAAAGCGGCTTGTTTATTGTTTATTGTGTGAAAAAGACAGTGACACAGAAATAAAAGTAGAAAATAGGGCTTAGTTGAGCCACAGACAGTTTGTTTTTGCTTCACTGTGTTGAGAAAAAAATGATAAAACAATGACAACTAAAAAAAAAGAAGAGAAGATACTGAATGCGTGCACGTGGCGTGTTTATAGAGTGATGGTCATCGTTTATGTCATTGCAACTAGCTCATACTTAAGCCAAACTGACCACTTTCAGTTAGCCAATCCTCACTGCTGGCGAACGCCCTGCAGAGTCGATTCATGAAAAGCGCTTTCATTGGTTATGCGAGCATTACAATACGCGTACAAGGAAAGTCAATTTGCTATGGTGCTGCTTAATTTGACGTGAATGTAAAGAAAAACGGCAAAACGACTTCACCCGCGATGTCTCGGGCGGAGCAAAATGAAACGTCACGGATATGGTCAGTGAAGAAAAGTATAACTAAAGAAAGTCCATGGTACAAAAACTGCAACAAAACGAGTAGCAAGTCAGAGAAGAGAACTTTAATGCTATACCGGCGATGTTACCATTACAGTGGCAGAAAAGAGCGATTCAGAGTTGTCTGCCAGATTCAGCGACTCGCATAGGCGGGTGGCAGCATGTCATAAAGAAACAACTCAACTCCACCAAAATACCGAAGATCTTCGGCGGGATATGCCAAGAAGAACTCTTGCCATCCCTAAAGCTCTTTCCGATCGTTGGTGAGACAGTGGAGCCGCTTACAGTGGCAGCCTACGCGGCACAGAGCCCGCGAAAGTCGCTACAACCATCTTGAGTCGCTCAGAAGAGACCGTACATAAATCGAGGCTCAAGACGTGGTAGAAAGAAACAAAACTTTTGTTCGACATGCGAACCTTTTTTCATATGCAGAGATATAAAAAGGAAGACCAAATGCACAAGCTTATAAACGTTTGCCTATTGCTCAATAATGGTGGGTCGTCGAGTCGAAGCAGTGGCAGACGCGGAACAGCCATTGAACAAACGCACGCGAGCAGAACGTCATTCGCGAGAAGACTATAGCTCCGAAAAAGATAAGGCTGCAAATCAAAAGACGCAGAGTACACTTTTTTTGGCGCTTCGCGCAGGCCATATTGCCTCATTTCTTCTGACTTCACTGTGGTGGTGCAGAGCAACATCGCATTGGAGGGCCTACACGGCGAAAAACCAGCTCGTGGCTGAGCGGTATGGACGCGATCGGCCTGGCCTTTTGTCAGGCGCCGCCAGCGGTGATGGCGGAAGTGTGGCGTCGAGGGATTGCACCGAGAGAAGGGCGAGCCGAGAACTATGCTTCCGCACAAAGGACGACGATCCGCCGCGAGCACCACTGGCCGACGGGTTTTCGCCACGCCGCCTCTCGTCTCCGGCTTCGTGCCACAAAACCCTCCTCGTTTTCTCTGCTTTGGAAGAGCTCGTCTCCGGCGAATGATGGATCGGCAAAGTCGAACAGCGTTTTAGGTCCCAGCCATCCCGGAAATGAATTGCCCTTCGAAGAAAAAGGGTGGGGAATTATATTTCCACGTCGTCGTTTGTTGCCAGCCGAAAGCAAAGAATCGCTCTCGCCTCCTAGCACTTCTCATTCATCCTTGACGCTTCCTCGAAAGAATTGCTCGCTTTCCTTTGTCTCTTTTGAGGCGTCGGCTGTTTCTCTCCGTTCACAAAGCGAAACTCGAGTTAGTGTACTCGAAATGAAGGAGAAACCTGTAATTGGATATCGCGATGCATCGTGTACATTCGTTATGAAAGTTGATCGATACGGCTATACCCTGTCGTTTGAATCATGTATGATGACCATGCCTTTTTTTTTCAGAACTGAAGCTAGCGACAGATACCAGCATAGACCAAATACGGAATGTAACGAAGAGCGAAGCCACTCTCATCTGTGTCAGAATTCGCGTAAGATGCTGCCTGAAGTTCCACGGGGCTGGCTTCTTACAAATCTTTTTAAGTGACCACACCCAGTACAGTTTCTCTACCAGGTGTATCGATTGATGTTCGCAGTCGCGCAGTGGTCACTGCATGCGATTGCATATCAGCGTGACCCCTATGCTCAGCAGGGACACAACTTCCTAACGGTAGGATTTCCAGTGAAAATGTATCTCTACACCCGATTGTTGGAGTAAATTAACAGTATATCATTGTGCATCACACCTAAATCGAGTCTGAATTACAAGCAATTCATGAAATCCTCTCCTGTGTCAAGTCGACCACAAATGTTGGTGGTCCATGCGAGCGCGTGGCGGAGGGTCGCTTCGCTACTCTTCCGCTACATCAGCGGTCATCGACAGCGCCGCAACGCCCGATACGCATCCCTCCCTAATCTACGGCCTGTCCGTTTTCTGACTAGAGGCAAGTGATTTCACATATCACTTTTTAACGCGACGTGCTTTCTGGCCGCTGCGTCTATGTGATTCTGCTTTGACAACAGTTCATGAGCACAACTATCACCAGTCGCAATCATTATTACAAAGTGATGCCTAGCCAACGTAGCGCCGTTCTAGGCACGCAGTGGTAGCATTGATCCTGCTATGAAAATAGAAATGTGATGGTCATACTGCTGATAAGCGTTTCACGTGAGAACTGTCAACTAACAATGGGCTACGCGACAGTAGAAAATACAAAGACCAATGACTAACGAGAATAGCCGTTTCCGGTTTAGCAATGTGGTCGACAGTAGATAGCGCATCGCTATAGGTGGCGAGGTCGGACAGTTTGCATGCGCTCACGTGGTCCACAAACTTTTGTGATAGACTGTACGTTCATTCGAGGAAGAATACGTAGGAATCAAGCTACAGAATACGCATCCTCTAAAACGGGGGGGGGGGGGGGGGGAGCCGAAAACTTGTTGTCCCTCATATACGTGGTCTCTGAACGTCGCGCATAGACGACATCACTTCTTGAATGAGTAAGTAATGAGCCGACTCATTAGTCCGGTGTAGAATGTTTACATTACTTTAATGCTTAAAGTCAAAAAATCGCTAGCAATGGTTTCGTAAAAACTACTAATTAACTACTTTTTCGCATGAAAACAAAGCTGAGTTCTTTCAGACGAAGGAAGAAAGGTAACATACAAAAGGTAACATACAAAGGGATACGAGCGTGCGGGAATATGAGCGTACAGTTTATAACATAGTTTTTTTTTTTTTTTGAGGGACGTGTATCTCGGTCACATCTAGAGATATCATCCGTGGATGCGCTGTTGAATAAATGGCCCAATGTTAACAGTTTTGTATATATTAGTGTGGTCATGCGAGCCACCATTTTACTAGAAAGAAAATAAATGCTGCCAAAATTGAAGGAGAGATGATAAGACGGCATTCGTTGGACTACATGGAGACTTGCAGGAGAGCTGGTACGAAATAAATTTCAATGACGTTCTTACGCTGTCACCTGAATGCTTAATCGGCTCAATTTTAAGAAAGCTTCACACTGACAAACTCATTGTTTATGGAAGTTCTGAGCTTGCTTTTGTACCAAACTAAGCACTAGATATATAATAAACTGTTTTCTAAAGCTAGGAATCAAATCTGAAATGCGAACTTTTGGCCGTAGCTTAAATGCCATTAAACTCAAAAGCATCTTTATTTGCGACAACTGATCGCCGTTGCGGCGCGATTCAGGAAATGGAGCATCAACTGGCGCAGGCGGCGAAGTCCCACTACTTCTGAGGCTTCATTTGTACTGCTCAATAAGTTGTCGCAGTTGCGATTCGATTCCCCACTCGCCACGTGCTGACGGCTGAGAGAATTTTCGGCCTTTACTGTGACTTCAACTGAAGCTATAACATGCAACTTCTGTGCTACACTTGAGCAGGGCTGCTAATTAACAGATCACGGGTGTAGTGAAACAACATAGTGGCAGTGTTTGTAGTTCACATATCTTAATCACCATTGCGAAGAAAATCAAGAGGCCGAACGTTCAGACTGCACAGCACTTCATAGCGGGAATTTTTTGTACTGAGCAAGTGAGCAAAGATATCAAAGTATTAACATAGAAAAAATCTGTACGAGAGTGCACCTATAATCGCTGCGAGCCCAACATTCACAGCATTTGTCCTTCATCTACTTCACCATCACTGTGAGCGTCTTCTTCGTTGGGAGGGTTGGTCAGACGACACTGCCGAATAGTTGACATCATAACGGTGCTGCTGTATTGCAGAATGGCGGCATTCGAATTACTTATAGTTACAAGTGCAACTGGCTGTTGCTCATTTCTGC